TTCCCCCCCCCCCCCCCCGGTGTTATCCTATCCTACTAGTCAATTTCAAACTAAAGGTTATTGTGAATGTTTTAGGATGGTAGCATGTATGTATATTGATATAAAATTGACACCACTCAAAACTGGGAGTCACCCTTACTTACAAAAGTGAGCACATTGATAGTACTCCTCTTCCTTTGTCATTTAATCTCACAAGGAATCTATAAGACAACAAAAATAGAAACCTGATCTTCTAAATACATCTTTTTTGTCACGACTTGGACTTCTACTAAGCACACCATGCGGCACTTGACAACTCGTTCTTTTGCTTTTACGTCTCATGGCGGGAGTGCTAGAGCCATAAAATGAATCTTGCAAGCTCAAGTAAGCTTTTTTGACACTAGATCGCTAAGGAATGTTGGATTTAGGAAAGACATAAGAGAATTGCTAGAGAAGGTTTTTGTATTGCTCAAGACTTGGAAGATTTGTTTGATTCTTGCTTGATTGTGTTACAAATGAGTGCCTCTCTATTTATACTACACACCTAAGGGCTAAGATGCAAATAAAAATTGCAAGTCTCTACATATTTACAAATAAGTGCTATTTCTAGAATACTCTACACAACTAGAAGATTCCAAGGACTTTCCATGCAAATTCATGGAATCCTAAGGCCTTCCAAGGGATTTCTCCAAGTCTCTAGAACCTTCCAGTATGGACTAGCTTTCTTCCTATGTAAGGCTTCCACATGGATAACTTTATGCCACGTGGCACCTACGTGGCATGATAACATTGCAGGTCATCACACTTTACACCAAAAGTAAAAAAAGATCTAGACATTTTGAATCCCTGGTAACTCACCTGCCAAAGCTTGCTTTCGATCCTATAGATCGTGGAACTTAGACCTCAGATGCATACTTATAATGTTTGAAACTCGTAAGACACCCAAGTAGCCTCATGGTAATAGCTTCATCGCCCAAGTCTAAGGAGGACTTGGTAAGAGAAAGGGACGAAATGCAGAGTTTCCTAAGAGAACATTTGCATATTGTCTAATTCGATTTTAAAAAAAGTAAAAGATTAGTACACATCGGATAGGGGTTGGGTCGGATTGGTTTTTTTAATTGAATTTGTATTTATTATATTTAAAAAGTACATTAAAAGATCACCCATCAGAAGATGGATTTTCCAGCAAATGATTTTTGTGTTACTAAGGGCAAAATTTGTGATTTTTGTGTTAAAAAATATAGTTAACTGACTTTAGTGAAAAAGACTCATATTTATATGACCATCTATGAAACTTACCCATTTAGTTCCTCAATTAGAATAAATTGGAGTTCGAGTATCTAAATGAATTTCGCTGACAACTTTGAGGGGCCATAGATATATATTAAACTAGCAGATAATAATAATTAAGTAGTGTTACCTTCTCAAAAAAAAGGATAATAATAATTAAGTTCCTTCCATTTCTTCCGCCTCTTGAAAGTTGGTAGCTTAATTAATATTCATGAAATTAGTTAATCAAGTGTTACCTTCTCAAAAAAAGGATAATAATAATTAAGTTCCTTCCATTTTTTCCATAGGAGGATAATAATAATTAAGTTCCTTCCATTTCTTCCGCCTCTTGAAAGTTGGTAGCTTAATTAATATTCATGAAATTAGTTAATCAAGTGTTACCTTCTCAAAAAAAGGATAATAATAATTAAGTTCCTTCCATTTCTTCCGCCTCTTGAAAGTTGGTAGCTTAATTAATATTCATGAAATTAGTTAATCAAGTGTTACCTTCTCAAAAAAAGGATAATAATAATTAAGTTCCTTCCATTTCTTCCGCCTCTTGAAAGTTGGTAGCTTAATTAATATTCATGAAATTAGTTAATCAAGTGTTACCTTCTCAAAAAAAGGATAATAATAATTAAGTTCTTTCCATTTCTTCCATATCTTGAAAATTGGTAGCTTAATTAATAACTCATATGAAATAAGGTAATCAAAACCTCTATAAATACCCAAGTGCTTAACCTTTATTTTCATCACATTTTACATATAGTTGAGCATCACCTCATTAGGTTAGTTTAATTATTTATATTTCTTCACATTATTTGTTCCTATAAAAGTCGAATCTCTCTGTAACTACTTCATTTATGTGGATTTTTTTCAGTTGTTATAGAGAGGTGTAACAACTACATATTTTTCTGTTTTTCCTAGTGATTAATTAACTGTGGAAATGCCCTTGCCTATCCTATATATACATAACACAGTCAAACGTCTCGATATCTGCATCATCTATAATTAATTGTTGTTTTATAGAGATAAGTGTTATAGAGAGGTTTGACTTTAATAACTAATTATTTTCCCTTTTTTTTAACAATTATTTAACAGCAGAAATGGCTTTGAACTCTGGTGATGATGGTGATCGGATGCGCGAGATCTGCACGGAGCTGGAGGACGTACGCCACCACATAAGAGGGTTGGAGTTGCAGATGCGAGATGCTAGATCAACACGCAACGTTGGAGAGTTTATTAGCCTGCTAGATAGGCGTGCTACTTATCTGGAAAGAGAAGCTGAGCTTGAAAAGGAACTCGAGACTAAATTTAACTTTTTTTACCGTAGGTTTCTGTAGTTGATTTTTATTTTCTTCCCTATATGTAGGAAGATTATAGGAATTGTTATAATAATTGAATGTTGGGAGAAAAACTGAAAAAGTTAATAAAGACAAGAGAATTTAATTCTCTTTGGATTTGAAAACCTACACCTAAATGCTGTGTTTGCTTTAATGTATATGTATGTTTTCCGCTTTCTTTATTAATTGTCTTCACAAGGTAGGGTAAGACTTGCGTACACACCAATTTCCATATGATCACGTAACTACCACTTTTTTCACAAAAATCACTTAACTACCATTTCTAACACAAAAATAACTGAACTTTTGAGTATACAAACACAAAAATCATACAACCTGAAAATACTTACTTCCCGGTGGATAACTCAATTTTTTTTAAAAAAAATAATTGATAAATAACAATTCAATTAAAAAGCATTGACCTAACTCAACCCAAAACCCATATGAAGAAAGTAAAATATTAAAAGAACGGAATAGAAGCACAGAACGTTCAGCGATCTCCATAACTACTAGTCCTTCTCACCCCCAACTAATATTTGCATTGATCTTGTTTATATATTTCAAAGAAAGAGAAGGATAAAAAGTGTTAAAGAAATGACATAAAATGGATAAAGTTGCCTAGAACATAGTGTCATGGAATCTCTGCCATATCAATTCAAGGCATAATCAACTAAAAAAAATATTTATGCTAGTCCATTTTCTATCAGAGTTGCTATCTTTATTAATATATTTTAGGAAAAATCACTACAACATGAAAACATGATAGCATACACTACAAATATCATTACACCAATAATAAAAAACATGATCTATAGAACAAATATTTTTAAGGCAACAAAAATGAAATTTAACACCCAGGGCGGATGTTTCTACGCCCGCGACTTACAACTCAAATTCTGGGCACAGCCCTATGGATCTACACTTTTCATTTTCACCCTGGAGTGTTTTTGGTACACCCCACCCTAGGACTTCCCCCAAAATCACCTTTGAAAACACTGGTAGCAGGTTGCTCCATTTTACTAGGTGGATCTTCTTTTATCACTATTGCCTTCCCAAAGAAAGTTTCTTCCTAGAGCATCAATCTTGTTGACCACAATTACAGGATTAGGAACAAGGACAACATGTAAGTGGACATAACATCTAGGACAACATTAATGAGCACCAAGCTGCCTCCCAATGATAAGTACTGGCTCTTCCAATTGGAGTGTTTCTTCTCACACTTCTCCATTACTCCATTCCATATCTTCTTGGAGTTACGTTTTGCCCCAAAGGGCATTCCCAAGTAAACAGCGGGTAATTCTCCAATTCTCCCCCCAGTATGTGATCTTGTTCTAGCTAATTCATGTAGATCTGGGACCATTCACTAGGTAAACAAGACTTTTATTCCAGTTAAGTTGATATTTTGTCCAGAAATA